CTGATGACATGAGTCGAGTGCACAATATTCGCGATTGTGCTGCAGTTAATTTGATCTTCAGTCGAGCACCGTTTTTTTCAATTCTTTCTTCGGCTCATTCGTAGTGATGGTGTTTGAATGTAGAAAATACATGAACATTCAGTGATTGGATGTATATTGTACAATCTTTTGAAGTTACAGCAACAACAGTTCATTGTTTGCGCATGAGACGAATTGTCTATTCGTTTAAAAGAGTAGACGATGTATCTGTAATAAACAACTTTGGTTGTCCATCGTTCACTTTTGAGTACCATCATCTAATATACTTGTCCATTGTTCTGAAAGTATAAAAGATGTCAACATATTTTTGATAAGGAAAAGAGGTGTCTTATGTGAACAACTTAAAATTGGTTGTTGAATGATTTTGGTGTGAAGAACACTTTTACTTTAGATGCATATCGCATCTTCTCATTGTCACTCATCTGACCTTTTCCTTTGAACAAGACAACTGGACCCATACGAGTGTTATCTTCAGCAAATAACGTTAGTATCACAGTATAAAATCGTTTGTCTGATATGCGACCTTCAATATCATTTACTGTGTTCATATCATTGATGTATAATTTTGTTTGGTCACCGAGTAAACTAAGAGGACTTTCGTCCATATTTACCATGTCACGAGGTAAGAAGGCGCCCATAGCACCGCATTTTGGACCCCCATGTACTAGCACGCCTGATGTATGTATGAAATGAAGTGATAAGTAGATGAACCTCATAGAGTGGCACCTTCTGTTGTCTTTTTGGTTTTTGCAGGGAAAGACGATAGCGGCGCATGAATCGACCATGCCACTTCGTCGATGGTGGATGCCCATGCTTCAGTTCGATACAAAGTTGCTTGCCACGTCGTTGTAATTGTTTGAATGTTACTTTTTCTCATTTAACGACGATCGATGTTGTCGTTGTAGATGCATTTGACTGAATGGTAGGAGCAGTACGACGTTCCCGGAAACATTCGAGAAGCAATTTATCGAGTTCGAGATACTGTAGCTTATGTCCAGCACCTGGAAGCCGTTTTCGTTTGCGTCCTATACTCAGTCAAAGTAAGAAAGAATTAGAGATGCAAGAGAGATCAGTATCATAATCCGTAGAAGAACAAAACTTACCATTTTTTTGCTGTGATAGTTGAATAAGATCTTTTTGTTTCACCCATTCAAATAATTGATATCTTGAGCAACCTTCCTTTTTTGACGTGAGCAGTTTATTACCACCAGCTTCTTCCAGCATATCAACGGCATATAGCTGCTCTGCAGTTGAGCATTGTCGGCGTTTACGCTTGCATGATGGACTCTCCTCCATCAAGTTAGATACAGCTGATGATGAGCCAAACAAGGACGATTGATCAGTTGATACAATATCTGCATTCAGATCATCTAGATCTTCATAGAGTTCAGTATCATTTGAGTTCAAGACTATATTCGACTGTTGAACATCAGTTGCCTCTTCGTTATTGTTATCTTCGTCATCATCATCGAGATTAAAATGATTCTTGATCAAATGGCAATATTGTCTGCTTCATCAACGATTGATATCAGTTCGAGATCAGATTCATCGGAACGGATGTGGGTGTGGGTGTGGGTGTGGGTGTGGGGTGTGGGGTGTGGGTGTGGAGTGTTGATGTGGGTGTGGGTGGGTGTGGATGTGGATGTGGGTGTGGAGTGTTGGTGTGGGTGTGGGTGTGGGTGTGGAGTGTTGATGTGGGTGTGGGTGGGTGTGGGTGTGGATGTGGATGTGGGTGGGGAGCACGACTGTTGTGTGTAAGACAATTATGTGTATGGACAATTGTGTGTAAAGCAATAGTGTGAACAGACAATTGTGTGTTAGATATTTGTGTGCAGACAATTGTGTGCAAAATGAATGTGTGCTATGTGTAAATAAAAATTTTTTGTCAAAAAGTGAAGAAGACCAAGTTGTTGATCTCATTGCAAATTTTAAAAACCGATCCAATTCAGGTTGAGAAAATAAAATTGACATGATGTATTCGTACTTTCAATGTGATCTATATGATGGTGAATTTTGAATGACTGTAAATGGATAATGTCTTCTTATTCTCACTCGTTTAAATACTTTTAAGGAAAATTGATCACTGTTAGGCTCTCTTTCTTTAATATTAATCAGTACAAATGAAATTGATCGACATGCATGCACATGACCATCTGTTCTCATAATTGTCTTACACACAATGACCTCTTCTCATAAATGTCTTACGCACAACTGTCTGTGCTCATAGTACGGAGTGCAAAAAAAAACTACCCCCTTGAGATTAAAGTATAACTAAATATTTATTTATAATTATAAATGACCTAAATTATATACCAACAGTAACAATAGTGAATGTGCAAATATACAATATATACAACAACAATTTTTTACAATCTTACAATTGAAAAATTTAAATCAAACAATAGTCACTATTTTTTCACCCTATGTGGACCTATTTCTTTATCATATATTAGAAAATTTAATTTTAAGAGAGGATGCATCAGACTACTGACCAAGCATGCATACGACAAATTTTGACTTTTAAATAAATTATACCATTCGAAAGCTCGTGAAAAGTTATGTTCAGAGCCAAATTTTTAGCCCCTTCTGAAAGTCCTATCAAGAGATATGAACGGATCTTTGAATCCACCCTCAGGTACTATTTTATGAATTTTAGAGAATTCTATTTAACACTTCATGACTACATATATTAGCATCAAGGATCCCTCTGTTTTAGTATCAATTAACGTATCTTGATTAGATCTGTAAAATACACAATGATAGAACAAGATTGTCAAATATAAATCATGTCCAAAGAGTCTCTAATGTGTTATTTTTAACTAAACAAATCGACAAAAATGATCATTTTTTATGAAAAGTTTTTATATTTTAGCTCTAAAAGTATACCAGATCAATTCTCTCCTCAAAATCTTTTTGCATAAGGAAAAAGCCTGTCAAAAACTGCATCTTTCTATATATAATTCAACAAAAAAAGATGTGGAGATGTTATTTAGTTTTTGAGCTCAAAGAAGATCACTACCATGGGAAATAGGTTCACATAGGGTGAAAAAATAGTGACTATTGTTTGATTTAAATTTTTCAATTGTAAGATTGTATAAAATTGTTGTTGTATATATTGTATATTTGCACATTCACTATTGTTACTGTTGGTATATAATTTAGTTCATTTATAATTATAAATAAATATTTAGTTATATTTTAATCTCAAGGTGTCACTTTTTTTTGCACTCCGTACTAATTGTCTTTCACACAATTGTCTTACACACAACAGTCATAGACCCGTTCTATCTATCGGTGATCAAAAGCACAAGACCTCATACATATACACGTCACTAGCGAGAGCCCGTTCATACTGCACGGCATCGTGTTTTTTCTTTAACGTACGATCTCAAAACTCTAATTTTTCATTCGATAACAGAGACAGAAACACTTGACACGATGTATATATAAGCCCTACAGCGTTATATATTCTTATATTGCTAATACCCCATGTAGCCTTACGGTCTTATAGCCTTACCAGTTGTAGCGTAACTCCCTAAGAGCGTTCCTTCCTTATAGCCTTACCCTTAATAGTCTCCCGTCCTTAAGAGAAGGTCCGTGAGAATACCAGGTATCATGGTCGCAGAAAAAATTTTGATTTTGGATTTGATCTTCTCAAATGAAAGGCCTTTTAGAGTTAGTACTTAATCCAAAATATTAGCTTGATCTGACCATCCATTGCTGAGTTCTGAAGTACACTTAGATAACAGGGGTAATAGGACCTAGGCAAAAAAATTGTCATTTTTCGTACTTTTAATATGGTACAAAAGTATTCCACTATTTCGAACATTAACATAGTGATGACTTATGGAAAAAGAAAGAGCATTGTTGTGGCTATCAGATTATGCCTTTTTCGACTCTCCACAAACATTATTATATGGAAAGGATGGGGTGGGTGTGGGGTATGGGTGTGGATGTGGGTGGGGTGTGCGTGTGGGCGGAAGCGAGTGTGGGTGGGTGTGGGTGTGTGGGTGCAGGTGTGGGTGCGGATGTGTCTCTTTCTAACGGCATCTACTCACACCCATACCACTCATACTCACACCCCCACCCCCACACCCATACACCCACTGCCACACCCCGACACCCCCACACCCCCACACCCACACCCTTATTCCTGTAATACAGGAATAATTGAACTTGTTTTTCTATTATTCATAGGTTTCCATGAAATTGTTTCTTACAAAAAATGAGCCGATTGAACAAAGGAATAGTTAAAAAATATAAAAATATACGCGACGATAACCAACATCATTTTTTTATTTATCAATCAAGAAAAAAAAAGTAAAAATGTTTAATGTTTTCTTCAATGACTGAACTCAAGCATAATCGAATGTAAAACTACAAGTATAGATCATCATACATTTCGAAAAGAAAATGATCTAATCTACTTTTAACAAAGAATTTTATTTCAAGACAGAAATTTATTCGGACAAGAACAACATGTTTTGGGGCTTGTGGTTATTAACAGTTCTTCACCCTCACTCCTCATTTCCACACCCGTTGTGTACCAATTAATAACAGTTATTCACTGTTACTGTACGACTTTTCTGTTATAGCCGTTAACTTTATACTTCATATTCTGCAGAATTAAATCCATTGAACGAGGTCGAGCATGTTAACTTTAAGTCTTACTTAAATTTTTTGAATTTGTAAGATATTTGTGAAACCTTTTTTTAACAGATTCTCATGTGAAGTTTTGCTGTCCTATCATTAATGATTGTCTACATACATAAACCAGTAATATGAAATTTATAGTCTTTTAAAAAACCAAGAAAAAAGAAAGAATCTGTCTTCTATTTAACAATAGTAATGAAAAAATTTTTGAATTCGATAATTATTATAGTCTGCTACGTATATATTGAATTGGGCGTCAACAGCTACTGAAAAAGGTTTACTTAGCAGGCTAGAATTGCTACCAGGTACAAGAGTAACACCGGCAATTGTCGTGCCATTTGATTGACTGGCTCGAAAAAATTGTATACAATGATTATTTACATCAGCCACATACATATTTCCCATCCAATCAAATGTCACGTCACCAGGACTGTTCAGTAGTGTTGATGTAATACCAGCCGATCCGGTAACTCCAGCCACCAGTGTCCAATTACTGACTCCTATTACCCAACGAACAATAGTATGAGAACCAATATTGGCGATAAAAAGACTATTTGATGATGAATCGAAGTAAATACCTACAGGGAAATATAACTGATTCCTAGCAGTTCCTAATCCATTTCCACCAGCAACAACTTTGCCTGATGTTGTATTCGATAGCAAGTATTGCACGATACGATGATTGGCATAGTCTGATACGTAAATTGTGCCTGAACTCCAATCACTTGCAATACCATGCGGTTCATTGAACTGATCATTAACAGCTCCTGCAACATTCATAAACATATTTTTACAAAATTTTTTCAAAAGATGAATAACTCAGTGGAAAAAGATAGTAAGAACTTGATTTAGCATTTTTCAGCAATAATAATGCAAAAAAAATCAAGATAATTTGCTGTCTAAAATGAGACGACAGATGATTTTTGCATTGAATTGAAAAAAAAAATAACTATAACATATATTTTTTAAAAATAAAGAACGTTATTTTAAGCGAATGAGAATACTTCTCTTTTCTTTCCTAGTCGATGATATTTAGAAAGGACTTTCAAAAGAAAATATTTAACAAAATACTTACCAGTACCAGCGATTAATGTGCCATTAGATGCACCACTAGTCCACTCTACAACTCGATTATTAAGTCTTTCTACTACGTAGATATCGCCGTTGGGAGCAACTTCTATATTAGCAGGTTCACTCAAATAATTTAATCCGATATCAGTTGCTCCACTTGACTGCCCTGCAGCTGTTGTGCCATTTGGAGCATCCACCAACCATTTTTGTACTCGATTATTATATCGATCAGCAATATAGATCGTATTCGATGAATCCACTTTGACACCAAATGGCAGACTGAGTTGATGTGGTGTCAAACCCGGAGAAAGTGTAATACCAGCTACAGTCTTACCTGTTGAATTCCAACAAAAAGTGATAACAGTAGCTGCAAAGAGAAATAGATGATATCATTTTTTTTTACAGAAAATACTTATATGATGATGATGTCAATCGGCAACTCCATTAGCTCAATGATTACTATAAAAATAATCATACTTTCTTCGTTTCTTTCCTCATATATGATTTGCTAATTTTTATGATACAAATATATTCATGTTATCAAAATAATAATGTAAATTTCGTACAAAGTATCAATTAGTCTCTTTCAAGATAGTTATCACTTATTTTTTGCAATTATCAGAGATGAACTAGACTCGAACACATGAGCCTATTGTTTCATAAAATTTCGTATTTCTAAGTACGTAGATCACTAAGATTTTTCTATTATCTATTCTTTTCTAACTCAACTTTGAAAGCTTCTTAATTTAATACTTAGGGCATACCAAAAGTAGTGGTCATCCTGTCTTATTTTCTTATAGACCGCTTATTTTATAGTTGTACTTTTTATTTTGAAAACGGACAAAACTCTGACCGACCAAATTTCGACGTTGCGAAAAGCAGGTTGGTTTTTAGTAAAAGATGAATTCGTTTTTCCTTATCTCATCTTTTTATTATCTGATCTACTTTATTAGAAAAAACAATATGTGTTACAAGATGCAGTATGAAAAGCTCTACAATTTACAAAGAACAATTATAAAAACATGCAATAGAAAAAAAATGAATTCATCTTTTACCAAAAACCAATGTCATTTTCTCAATGTCAAAATTTGATCGGTTAGAGTTTTGTCCATTTTGAAAATAAAAAGTGCAACTATAAAATAAGCGAGCCTTTATAAATTGTAGAGCTTTTCACGCTGCATCTTATGATATATTTTGTTTTTTTTAATACAACCTATTAAGTGATATTAAAATGAAATGCAAAAGTGCCCCATTTTTTTATGCCACACCCATTATGATCCAAATGGTACCAGCCAGTTTGCAACAAAATCCAGTTTTTATCGAAATTTTATTATTATAAGATTAGTTGGATAGTGATCAAATAGCATAGAAAGATAGAGCAAAAGACGCTCTATCTTTTCATAAAAAAAGAAACTTTTTCCAAGCGGTCTATACGAAAATAAGATAGGATGGCCACTACTTTTGGTATGCCCTAAGTAGATGAATTTTATGTGATAAATAACATCTTTATAATAATAGTTGAAATACAAATTCAAAGTAAATTTTATTCTTTGAAGAAGTTGTTATAGTTGTCAAATCGAAAGAGATTTATTTATACAGTGTCAGTATATTGTTCATCTATTTAAAATAAAATATAACTAGTAAATGTGTCAAAATTTTCTTAAAATACATTGCTTTTTTCGATATATTTGAGTTGTTACTGGATAAAGAAAATTTTCTCGTCTAGGGATTCAAAATATAGATAAAGAAACAACTCGACTTCAAATAAATCGAATGATTGAAACAGATTTTTACTTGTAGTGCTAGTTGTGGTCACAGTTGTTGTACTGGTAACAGCAGATACCCTTGTCTGGTCAATAATGGTCGTATAAATGCCTACCGCTATTGTTGCTAAAGCTAATGCAGAAAATGTAACAAGGCTAATAGTGCATGGTAACGAGCAACATATTTTACGCCAACTAAATAATTCATTTCGTTTTCTAAAAATAAATATTATTTTTAATTGAAGAACAATATGCTGATATATATGTAATAACCGATTCTAAGTAAAACTATTTTTACCTTTTACGTTTTTTGGATGATGTCTTCATATCATTCACAGTCAAACTTAAATCATTTGATGTAAGATGATTTGTTAATGTTGTTTGTCCTCTGGATAACGAATAAAGATCAATAGAAATTGTTCGCGTTGTATTTTGATTGATATATTTTATTAATTGATTATTTTGATTGTTCATATCATCCTGAGTGGGTGTTACCTGCGACAAAGAACCAGGCTTTTGTCGACGCTTGGAAAATTTTGAAACATGTGTCACTTTGGTTGATTGATATTTGGTCATTCTCTATTTTATTAACTATTGATGAATTTAATTTATGCTTTTCTTATTAATATTATTTTAGAATATACAAACTTATTTTATATATTGATCTGAGACAAAGAAATCTTTGAAGGTATTATGCTGTACAATATTATTGTTTTATTTTTTAATTAAATTTTCGATGAGTTGCGATAGAATATTTTTATATAGAGAAGTCTACTCAATCAATTTTTATTTTCAATATGATGATGAAAAAAAGATGTATTTTTTATTGAATGAATGTAAATGAAGGATTTCTAATGTAATTTTAAAGAAATTTTTTTCAGATATATATCCATTATTGAAATAAAAAAATCTTTGTCGTCTAGATGTTGTCATTATTGTTATATATTTCTTTTTCTATTCATTAATAATAAAAGTTTATTTTTGATCATATGAAATCAATTATTGATTTGTTGAAATATCCATCAGTGAAAATACTTTAATCAATACGGTTTTCAAAGAAGCTACGGCAGACAAAACATGTTTTTTTTAGAAAAATTTATTAGATTTTTGGTCAGACAGTAAAAGAGAAAAATAAAGAAATATTTTAACAAAGGGTGTGGGTGTGAGTATGGCAAGTGGGTGTGTGTCTGTGCTTTAGACATTGATAGCCACATCCAAACAGCCACAGCCACACCCACGCCCACGCCCACGCCCCACACCCACACCCACACCCACACCCCACACCTACACCCGACACCCATACCCACACCCACACCCACACCCCGCACCCCACCCACACCTCAGGTTGAAATCCTCAAATATAAATTTTTTTCGAAAATTGAATTCCTACAGGAGGAATCTACTAAAAAGTTGCTAAATCGACCAAATCTAAGCAAGAGCTAAAAACCTTTGGAGAATAATCTCCTACATATTAGCAAAATATAGAAACAAACGAAGCGGATCATTTGGAAATATTCCCTTATTGGTGAAAGA